AGACAAAGATACAGACAGACACACGGATATATACATATAAATACACACACACTGACACACACAGACATACGCAGACAATACACTCACGCAGACAAACATGCAGACTAATACATACAGCCATATAGACACACACACAATCAAACACACACACACACACACACAAACAGATAAACATGCAAACACATACTGACACCCGCACCGACAAACACACAGAAATCCATACACAGACAAACACACACAGACACACGTACACTCAGACAAACACACATAAATACACATACAGACACATATGTACAGCACACACAGACATACACTATGACATGCAGACACATACACACAATAAAGAGGCACAGATAAACACACAGACATACAAAGACACCCAATGACATATATACTAGACACACGCGCACACAATACACACAGAGACACGCACACACAGACACATACACTCACGTTAACAAACATACAGACACCCAAACACGGAGACACATACATACAGCCACACAGACACACACGCAGACAAACACACACAAATATACACAGGCCAACACGCAGACAAACACACACAAATATACACAGGCCAACACGCAGACAAACACACACAAATTTACACAGGCCAACACGCAGACAAACACACACAAATATACACAGGCCAACACGCAGACAAACACACACAAATATACACAGGCCAACATGCAGACAAACACACACAAATATACACAGGCCAACACGCAGACAAACACACACAAATATCCACAGGCCAACACGCAGACAAACACACACAAATATACACAGGCCAACACGCAGACAAACACACACAAATATACACAGGCTAACACGCAGACAAACACACACAAATATCCACAGGCCAACACGCAGACTGTGACGTGACGCGTGGTTTAAATGTTTATGTTGTTGAGTAGGGATCTTCCTTTCAACACATTCTCTCCACTAGATACACCGAACTAAATCTGAGCTATGTTGCTCTCAGACAAAGTCCTGGATATCCAAGAAAACAGCCATATTGGCTCGTTAAGTACTTTAACATTAGCTACAACCAGCCTGGCAGTGGTTTGGAAGCTCGTCCTGCCACAAGGAATCTGTCCTCGGCTTTTCAGCAGCTAGGGATGGAAACAATCAAAAAATATATAGTCCCTGCTGTTTTGCAAAATAAAATATATTCCCAACTTTCCCCTCTCTCTTCATATTGTCAGAAGTGGGATAATAGTCTAGTAGCATTGTCATTTACATAGCTTCCACTTCTGACTACTGTCCAGTCCCGATGAATGTCTTCCATCTTCTGTCCTTCAGGATGATAGTGTAATGCTCCTCATTTTTTCACAGACTCAGACAGCAATATATGCAGTTATAAATGCAACACAAAATCAGACAGAATGTTATAGAATTCTCTCTATAAATATTGAGAATTATAGATAAAAGGTCTGGCCTTTCCTTCTTCCAGATATTCCACTGTGCGGTTATTTTCTGGTTGAATCCTTCTTTTGTGAGGCTAAGAAAAACAGTTTCCCAGTGGGTAGTTTTCTCGGACAGCATGTCCTCAAAATCACAGCATTTAACACTGCTGTGTATAAGTAAAATAATACATTAATAACATCATGAATAATACATCAATAACCTGAAAACAAATTCAGCACTTC